CTATTATATAAATTTCCATACAGTCAGGACATCATGTCATGCTTAAATGAATCTACGTGAGTAGTTCGATGTGAGCGGGTGTGTTTGTATTTGGCACATTTCTATGGATGATATACACTATGTGTGTGTGTGTTTTTCTTTTCCTGTAGGCACAATGGTTCTTAGTGAAGTGTTTTCTCTACTTTTTGTTATACGCGCTGTGTTGACACTATCATTATGACGCTCATGCCAATTTATAGTCCCAAAGGTTTCTTTCCTATTTAAGACTCTTGTACGGCTACTGATATATTGTTTTTGCCTTTTAGCTATAGAGGGTCACAAATGTGTTATACTAATAGTGGATTTAAATAGCCAAGGGCTGTTTCTTTGTTATTTTTTAGTTTAGTGTAAACAATGTTATTCCGTTGATTTGCACCCATGTACAGGCTTTGATGTGAAGTTTTATTCTTAATTTACATCTGTAATAAAAGTTGTATAAAATTGTACACAAAAAATTATTTGCAGACCTCATTCTATTATTAATCAAAGAAGAATTGTATCACTCCGCACTAATCCCATGTAATTAAGACGTTCATGCTTGTGCTTGATTTAATAATCCCATTCGCTATAATATAATAAATTATCGGTTAATTTTGAGCAACTAAATTATTTTGCTATATATGTAAAAAATAATTAATTACTGCAAATGTACACCACCCAATGTGGTTGGTTTCTGTCACATTACCATTTTTCGAGATGATTACAGAATGTAATGAAAATGGTTAATTGTTTTTTAACACGATTATCTTTTTTCCAATTTGATGTCAGTAATAATGTGTAATCAGACCTCCCTTGGCCAATATCGTTCTATGGTGAACGGAAACGGAAGGATGTGTGTTGATGTTAATAAATTAAATATTAATACAAATTTCACGCTGTGTTAATGTACGGATGTCGTCAGACTCCAATGACAGATTAACAAATAATTTATGTTGTTAACGCCAAATATGTTTGACATGTGTGTATGAAAATCATGACAACAAACGATTAAATTGTATATACATATGTATTTGTGTAATGTAAGTGTGTGAGTGCGTGACAACTGCAAAGATTGTGATATATAGGACGATAGCATTGGGGAATAACATAAATCAAAACATTTGGCCACATCTACATAACTCGGGTAGATCCCAGTCCTGTGCAGGTTGTATTACTATTTGAAAATTATATTTTTCAAAAATAGCTTCAATAAAATTATGATAATAAAATATATTACAAGTCCCTTTTAGGGAACACAAGTCTTAAAATTTTGAAGAAATTGGAATGACAATTTGGATAGAAAACTGGGCTATGAACTTCAACTTATGAACATATAACGTAAAATATGAACTTCTGATATGTAGAAACATGAACTTGTATTAAACATTTTATTGAGACGAATTTTTATACCATTCACCACACGAAATTTGGTACAGCGTACTAAATTAAGGCCACAATGATGTGTGCTATGTTTCGTAAAAATCAGTTTAGATTTAGATATAGCTCCAACATATATTTTCGTCTGATTTAATGTAAATGGTGCACCAAGGTCCCCATATATATTTCGATTTGCGCGAAATTTGGTACAGCGTACTGAATTAAGACCACATTGATGTTTGCTAAGTTTTGTGAAAATCAGTTAATCGTTGAAAAAAATCAGATTTAGATATAGCTCCCATATATATTTTCGTTTGACTTTTGTGACACGAAATTTTGCACAACGTATCGAATTGAGACTAGAATGACGTTATTGCGTTTTGTTGAAATTGCTGCAGATGCATGTACAGCTTTCATATATATTTCAAACGAATGTCTGATTGCGATTAAATTTTGGATAGTGCGGCCTACCGAATAGCTTGTATCAAATCTGCTCTGAATCGATTTAAATAAATTTGTGCCATTGTACGCAAATGACTCTAAACTTGCCCTAATGAAATGAAATTTAACATAGGTTTCTGAAAGGCATAAACATCACATATTCAAGTTACTTCAATTGCATGCCAATGTTCCTTCACCACCCATAGTGGTGAAGGGTATTATTTAATCGGTCCAGTTACTCTTGAAGAATCCGGAATATCTAATTACCTTTATGGTAATGTGGCCTTTATAATATGTGGCTTTAGATTTACATTGAGTTTTCTGCACCGATATTTTGATCTTCAAAAAAAGTTATGGGGATTTATGTAAAAACTTTCTATATATCGAAAATGGGCCGTGACTTTATTATTAAGACCACATTGATGTTTGCTAAGTTTTGTGAAAATCAGTTAATCGTTAAAAAAAATCAGATTTAGATATAGCTCCCATATATATTTTCGTTTGACTTTTGTGACACGAAATTTTGCACAACGTATCGAATTGAGACTAGAATGACGTTATTGCGTTTTGTTGAAATTGCTGCAGATGCATGTACAGCTTTCATATATATTTCAAACGTATGTCTGATTGCGATTAAATTTTGGATAGTGCGGCCAACCGAATAGCTTGTATCAAATCTGCTCTGAATCGATTTAAATAAATTTGTGCCATTGTACGCAAATGACTCTAAACTTGCCCTAATGAAATGAAATTTAACATAGGTTTCTGAAAGGCATAAACATCACATATTCAAGTTACTTCAATTGCATGCCAATGTTCCTTCACCACCCATAGTGGTGAAGGGTATTATTTAATCGGTCCAGTTACTCTTGAAGAATCCGGAATATCTAATTACCTTTATGGTAATGTGGCCTTTATAATATGTGGCTTTAGATTTACATTGAGTTTTCTGCACCGATATTTTGATCTTCAAAAAAAGTTATGGGGATTTATGTAAAAACTTTCTATATATCGAAAATGGGCCGTGACTTTATTATGGAGGGCTAAGTAAACAAATGGACTTATATGCGTTCATGATGGATGTGCGTTTCACCCGATTTAAATCATTTTCACTCCTTTTTCCAAAATATGTTGAAAATAAAGTGTATATTTGCTATTGCCAAGTCGCACGCCACACATTTCTATGAGAACCCTTTTGAAAAACACTTTCAACACACATGCACTCCGATGGATGTTTGTCAAATTTATATGTCTCAAATTTTAAAACAACATTCTTATGTTAATTTGAGTTTTAAAGGTAATATGAAATGTGTGTGTGTCTGTTTTGTTTTTGTATCCATCCGAAATCTCGTTTAGATCAAAGATATTACTCTAAAAGAAGCACCAACCTAATACAATAAGTGTCACATAATTCAGTGACTTTGAAACAACAATGTGATTGGGATAGGCCACCTTTCAGGTTTATGCCGTACGCTTATTTGCTGAGTTAAGGGATAACATAAAAATGTTAAAATAGCTTTAAAAGGTTATTTCAGAAATTTATCTCTTTGTTTATCGACAAGAAAGTTGTTAGTAAGATGAGTCGATGAGGGGAACGTTGGGGTGGTAGGTGTAGAATGTTTAGTCAAGTGTAGGATTTTTTCAATTTTCCGCTCTAATAACTTGGAAAAATGTTGTTGTGCCATCGCCACCACAATGAGTCATTCATTGTGTTTTTGTCCGGATTTTGTCTCAAAGTTTTCACAACATCAGTCTTTAGCTGGGCATCTTCAAAGAAGAACCTGAATATCATTAAAGGTCATTACAAAATATCACATCCTCTGCCGTCCCCCACATCAAGGATGATTCTTTGAATATGTTATTTTGTTGGTTGCTTAGGCGGCCTTAGTGTATTTGTTTAGAAAGCTTTCACATCTTTATGACACATTGAAATCACCATCCTCCTACCCAGCTAAGGAAGGAAATTAAAATTGAGGTAATAGCTTTAGTCAAAGGAAAAAACTACATTATGGCTCAGGCAATAAACAGGTTGTTGGAGATGTGTTTACGCTACACCAGCACATAGATAGTGATTGTTAGAGACCAGGAGTTTACTTTAAAGTTATATTCAATTTTTTAAAATCGTTCATAATTAATGTTTTCGTATATCACGAACAAGGGACGAATGCAGGGGCCAATTACCATCCCAAATTATGTTTTTCAAACAATTTTAGAAATGTCATATTGCAACAGCGGGCCGATCCGAAATAAAATCCTGTGTACCTCAGTGACAAAGTAATACTAATATAGTATTTTAGTTCCCAAATAACGCATTATATTTTTAATATAACTCCTCTGCCTTCCTCGTTTTGAATTTTAACGACTTTTTTGGCCGGTACTGCAGACTAAATTTTGTTTTACATTCTATTTATGAAATTATAAAAACAAACAAATTGTCTCGCCAACAAAGCAAGCCATTGCCAAAGATGCTTCAAGACGATAGAGAACGTTTAGCTTAAGTGCCTTTTATGATAACCCCATATAAATCTTCCACAAGAGAGAAAGCAAAACGTTTAACACCTTTAGCCAGACAATTTTCGCCAAATATCCACTTTCACTCTCCAGCATTGACTCAATTTAAATTTAAATGTAAATTTTCTTTGGAGTCGCTATTCCAACCTGCCAAGCAACCAGCCAGGCAGCCAGCTAGTCAACCAACCAATCTCGTCAGGCAGTCAGCCAGTGTTTGTTGTCTTATCATTCCACCAACACTACTACCCGAAATAAATATCCGACATAATACAATTAAGATGGAAACAAGATGGCAACGAAGTGTAGAAGGAATTGTCCCAAATAAAGTTAGTCATTCATTTTCACCAACACCGCACAAAACTACAAACACGCCGACAAAAAAAACAACAACAACACCGTGATGTAAAAATTGCTTAGATGTAAATAGATTTTGTAGAAATTTCCTTAAGGCAGGAGCAGGAACAGCAGCAGCGGAAAACAGAGAACGTGGTAATGGTTCCTACGGCGAGTAAGAAATCTCTGTGTTTACCATGCTGTTATGTTTGGTGTTTCGGTTTTATTTTATTTGGTTTTTTTCTGTTTTTCTGTTTAAGTGGGTGTTTATCAGTTTGCCGTTTTGTGTGTGTTTCACGCTTCTGCCTCCATTTACTTACCACCAACATAGATGTCAACTTGTGTCCAATTAAGTTTTGTCGCAATACTTTTAACGGCAAAGGAAATTGCCTCGTATGATGGTAGAAAATTGCTTGATTCCTGGAAGTAGATAAAACGAATAACAACAACAATCAGACAAAAAAGAAAAACAACAAATTTTGATTTCATAAAGATGTGTATGTATGTTTGTATGTGAGTGATTTTTTTTTTTTGACAGAATATGAATTTACATATAGATTTCCATATTGATTTTTAGTGGGAAATTCATTTGTGTTATTTGTATATATGAGTAATTTTATTGAAGTCTTATCAATATATAACACTAGAGATCTGATCTTTAAAATATAAATTTAATTTTAAAACATAAATATTTTATTAATAAATAACTATTTTTGAATACAATTTAGTTTTAGTATTCTCTCTTAGAAAAGACCAAAAATTGAAATCATTAATATAAATTTTCTGAGATTACGGTTCTATTCTTACGGTGGTATTACCAGTTTCAGTGTTTTGTTTAAATAAAATGTATGTTCCTTATTTTTACTATTATAACAAAATTTCCATTATGATATCGAATAATTAGTAGATTATTGCTGTACAGAAACAGGTCAAAAATTCGTAATATTTATTTTTGAATCATTAACATATAACAGAGCAAAATGGTATACTTTTTTAAATGTTTTGATATACGTTTTTATAGTATTACTTTCTTTTTTCACAAAAATCGTTTCATTGACACATGTAATGCACGATAGATTATCTTGTTAGAATACAAATCCATTATCCTTGTTTGCTCATTTTCATTTGTAAATCAACAGCAGTATTGATTTATTTGTACGTTGTTGTTGTTGTTGGTGTTATCAACAAGGATTACAAATGAAAGCCTACTCGGCTAATCGATATGCCATCATTGTTTTGTATTCGCCTTTTCATTATTGAAATTATAATAGATTTGTTTTTGAAAGCATTTTCATTATTTATGTACATTAACAGGCATTGTAAAGTGATAGTAGGTAGAACGGCAAAAGAGAATTTTTAATTCGATGATATTGAAAAGTATATATTTTGGAGCATTTATTTATTTATCCGATGTATATTCTCTCAGCTTTATCTTGCTTTTCAATAAGGATTTTGAACATTTTTGGAGGTTTTCAGCTGTTCAGAAAGTGTGAATCCCATGCGAAAAGATTTCGATATTAGATTAAGTTGTGGTATATAAAAACTTTTCAAGGTGGTCAATTAAAATATATTCATTTTATTTAGATTCAAAATATGCCCAAAGGTTTCTTACAAAAGACTACAAATAACAGATAATATATAATAACATATCATTTATTACCATTGTTATCTTGTAATACTTATTTCGATAAACATTCCAAATATGATATTAGGTTCACCCAAATCTAAATATAGTGCCAATTAGAACACATCAATATAAATTTAAAACTTTAACAATCTATATAGGATTTCCAAAACACGACAATCTTAATTCCAAATCTCAGGATTTTAGCTGTATCGGTTCATCTAAATCCAAATTATATCAAATTTAATACCATTTAGTACACATACGTACAAATTTACAAATGTAATGGAAATCTTATTGCCCACTGCCCAGCTCTATTGTTTCAAAAGTAGGGCCATTAGTACACATTAGTAGACCTTTCCAAAAATGCATACATATCCCAATTCAACAAAGGCCAAACCTATACCCAAAGAGTGATCTAAACGTTAAATTTCAAGATTCCAGCTCTACCGGTCTAACCAAGTACAAATTGTACCATTTGTAGTACGACCACGCAAATCCACGCAAATGTCTCAATCCTAATCCTTATTTAAAATTTCAGCTCCATCCGTTTCTTTAAATTCAAATTGTACCATACTTTAGCACAGTTTAGTACTTTTCGTATACATGAGTACACGCTTTGAAAACCACCTTCTTATTTCGATCCTACTTTTCAGCCTTAATTCTTAATTTGGATCAAGAGCGACCCTCAACTAAAATGTCAAGGTCCTAGCAGCAGGCGATTCGTCTGGGAGTTGATGAATCGTTAAATCAGTCAGTCAATCAATTTACTCTTTTATTAGTATAGATATAGGGAGAATGTAAGTTTCATCAAGCTTTACCGAAAACTCATTGGGCCAACATATTTTAGATATATTTTCTTTTATCATAAGAATCGAATTTTATACATTTATTTTTTTTGCATAGTAAAATAATAAAATATTCATTTTAAAAGGTTATTTAAAACAGTTTAACTAATTTTTGCGATTTTTTAAAATAATTCCTTTAAATGTTACACTTGGCACAGTTTTACAAAAACCCAAAACATTTTTTATTTGCCTTTTCACCATGATTTCTACCATCCCATTTTATTTTTATTTATACAACACATATTATTACCATATGTTGAAATCCACCTCTGGGTTTTGCACACAATTCTCACATCGGTTCCAACCAACAGCATTGGCTTTTCGGTGAATTCAGATTTTTGTTCCAATGCCACCGACGAACACAAGCCACTTTATTTACAATCAACAGCGGCAACGACAACATTTTGCCACGTTTAATGGTTGTATCTGTTTGAGGTTTATCACCTGCCTGGGACATGGCAAAGAGCAAGGCGTAACATTGGAACAATAGGATTTTTTGGTAGTGAAAAAATCTGCAGAATATTATTGGGAGCCACCCCCTGCACCATCAGAAAACAAATTCAGTGAAGTCTATCGGAGAGACACGCACACACTCACCCATACAAGACAATGGGAAAGTTACGACCATTGATAGGTTTCTGTTTGTCTTTTGGATTGTAATGGATTCTGATTAGAGGCATCGCACAAAGGCAGTATCTCTAAAAATTGTGAGTGTGTGTCTGTGTTAGTAGTTTTGATTAAAACACTGACCAGTTATTGGCAATCCTTGAGAATGATGGATATATTCTTGCTGCCGTTTTGCCTGCCTATCAAGCCTTAATAAAATGTTGCTTTGTGGTTTGTGCTACGCCTTTGCTTCTATTCTTCTGACCTTTTTTTGGTTCATGTGAATGTGAGTTCGATGCAAACGAAGTTATTAGAAAGCAATCTAATAAAAGTTTTCTTTCATTTTGTGGATGCCTGTTCGTTTACTTGATGGGATTTTCTTGTGTTGCTTTCAAGTGTTTCGTTCATTCACACATGGAAGGTGTAGAAGGAGGCGGATTGCATGAACGACTTGGTGTGAAAATGGAAAACTAAATAAATCCTTTTTCAGTAATACATGGCACATATGGTGGCACACCACTGTTGGAAAATTGAATTGCATTTCATTATGTTACGTCGACACAGAGACAAAGGGGAAAAAAGTGGCAAATCCCCTACATTGTAATCACGCCCACATAAAAACACACGGACAGAGAGTCTCATATGCTAGATAACATTTACATAAGTGTGTGAATATTTTGAATTGTTTGAGATTGGATTTATATGACATGGGTTCCATCTATTCGATACTTGTGCACACTTCGTGGAACATTATGAGTAGGGGAGTGTTTGCAGCGTTGTGAGAATATGTTCTTTGAAAAGTGTCGTTTGATGCATATATATATAGACATATATTAAATAATAGGAATAAAAAATATTAATACTAAAATACTTTCTCTGTTTGGAGAAACTATAGAACTTTATATGTGTTTAATAATGTCTATCCAAATAAGAATAAGGACATGTAAAAGCTCTGTTGTAGGTTCGACCTTTGGAGATGTAATAATCAATCCGAGTTTTTGCGCCGATATGCTACAAGGTGCTAAATATGAAGTAGAAAAATATTGCAATCGGCTGGTAAGGATATGGTGTCTGTGAGAATACACATAAGCGAATTTTCATTTAAATACGATCGCTATTGAAGAAAACGAAAGTGCTGGATCTTAAACCAGTAAGGAGAGTAGTAATGTCGGACTGGGCCGACTATATGATACGCTTCACCACTTTGAGTATATTGTACATATGTATCCTTACAATAGCGAAATCTGAACCGATTTTCCCGAAACTTACCACACATCATTCTAGACTTAATTCAGTACGCTATGCCAAAATTCATGCAAATCAAAATATTTCCAGGGACTTTAGTGGACTATTTACCTAAAATCGGGCGAAGCTATATCTAAATCTGAACCGATATTCACAAAACTTTGCACACATCATTCTAGACTTAATTTAGTATGCTGTGCCAAATTTCATGCACAACCTAAGATATATAGGGACGAAAATATATATAGTTGCTATATCCGATGAACCGATTTTCACGAAACTTAACACACATCACTCTTGACTTCATGCAGTACGTTATTCCAAATTTCGTACAAATCCAAGGATATATAGGGACTTTGGTGCACCATTTACTTGTGCCAAATAAATGAGCTGTGCCAAATTTCATTCAATTCGAATCAAAAATGTGACTTGTACTTTGTTTACAATTTAACATGGAAAGACAGACAGACCGACGGACGGACATCCATAAATCGACTTAAAAAGTGATTCTATGCATATTCTCAAAAGGACCACGTGTCGGAACCACGGATTCGAATGAAAAAGCGGTTTCCCAAACTGATGTTTCAAAAAAGGCATTGAAGTGAATTTAATAAACAAATTTGGGCCGAAGATATTTTAGATAGTGCTTTACTCTAGAGGCGATCTATACACACTTATATCTAGCATTTCTCTAAAAATCTATTAAATAGACTGATTTTATTTCCATTTAACATTGAACATACAAATAAATTAACTAATTTAAATATTCTATTGTGTGCTTTGAACTAAAAAATTTTTTTGAAAATGTCCATAGTCATGAAAGGCAATTCAATCAGACCGTTTGTAGAGAGCTGTGCCAATAAAGGACTCCAATTGATATTCCTTCAACACATCAATGCTGACAATTCAATAACTGTTGCCTGTCTGTTAACATTTTATGGATGTGTGTGTGAGGGTTCTTTTTTCATTTTGATTGTTGAATAAAGAAAGGATTTTAAATGAGAACGAAAGGGCATAATCATGACAATGCCCATCACTTATTTAGCCTTTTTTCATTTAACCTTTTTTGTATCATTCATTTAGAATATTGATTTGCAGGAGTGTGGATATTTCGATTAAATTATCTACTAAAGTGGGTAAAACACTGTTTTTTGTCAGTCAGCTAGGATATGTGGCGAATGAAATAAAAAATTCCATTAAATAAAATAAGGGAATGGAATAAAAAAATGTTTCTATCAAATAAAATAATGTTTCACAAAAATAATCTTACGAATTTTCTTTAATTTTCATATGAAGATATCTGCTTATAGATTGTGTCATGCCATACAATTATGACAATAAAGGGATATTAATATGTCTCCAACCCCTCTTTAATACCGCATAAGGAGTCCAACAACACTCAATCACATGAACTACCAACAAAAAAACTGCAGTCATGGTATGCCATTCAAAATCCCTCTATGAGAAAAACTAAAATTCTTGGAATAGTTGAAGGTGTCAAATGAACACATACATGTTTATATGTGTGTCTGTATGTATACATCTATTAGCATTTTGAAATTCTCATTGTGTCTGGCAGACACCCATCCGCATGATCGCCATCACACATTTGGCTTCTACTGGCCATAAATGAAATTTAAATAATTTGATGGCCATGTTTATTGAGTTGAATGTTGGTATTTCCAGTTTTCATTTCAATTGCCTTCGTTTTTCATATCACAGTTCAGTGCGGCCATAAATTATTGCAGCTTTACGAATATAGAGACGTCGCCGACGACGACCGTAATGGTCGAAATGCAATTACTTTTTAATATGCCGTTTTTGATGTTTTTCATTAATGTTTCGTTTTTTGCTTGTTTTATTGTCACATAATTGGTTTGCGGGAATATTTTGGGCTTTAGGGTAAAATATTAATGAGATGAGTGTGGGAAATAATGCAGCGATGCACATTCTGTCCACGCGACATTTAATTTTATTTGTTGGCTTAATTTTTCCACAAACAAAAAATGTATGAAAAAATAATAATTTGGTTTTAATTTAATGAACAAATTTTGGGGTAAATCGCATTATCACAAGGGTTTTTTTGTGACTTTATTCCGAACTTAATTTTCAAAAAACAAAACACTTTATTAAATTTAAAATAAATTTTTATTTTAAATGCTTTGTTATACCCTTCTTCATAAAGAGAGTGAACATAAAATTTGGCATTCATAAAGTCTACAATTTCTCAATGGATTTATCGGCATCTTGACTTTCCCGATTTTTGGAGGGTGTATTTCTATGTAAAATATGCTTTATATGGGTTCACTTTTTGGAATAGTCCCCATTTAACGGTATCGGCCGATTTTTTAGTAGTTTTATATCATGGCTTTTTAGAATGCATTTTGAATGTTTTAGATTTTTCTTAATGAAAAATTAAATCTATAAAATTTGCAATAAAAGTCTATTCTCCTCTATGAAGGTTCTTCCACATTTTGATGGACCTAGACGCATTTCCAAATGATAAGACCGTAATGTACCCATCATAGAAGAAGGTATAAAAAATCGGCAAAATAATTTTAAATGTTCCATTTTACATGAAATCTTTTATATTCAAATTAAAAAAATCACCTCCATTACAGTTATATGTTATGATATAACAATATTTTGGCTTGCTTTTTTCAATGTCTTTATGGACCATACAACGGTTTGAAAATAAGTGTAGAAAAAAAATAAACAACGTTTTTTAAACCAAATATGTGCTTAAAATGGCGAGAGGAAATAATAAATTATAAATATGTATATTTACATATTTACAAAATTATAATGTAATATATTTTTAATTACATTATAATTTTTTTATTTTAAAGTCATGATAACGAACAATTATATCTAAATAACTCAAATATAAATAACGTTACTAATTGACTAATTTTATTTGATTTTACATATATATATATATATTGTAAACAATATATATTGTTTACAAATATATATATATATATATATATATATTTATTAAACAATGAATAATAAAAATAGAAAAAAATCGAATGACCTTTTAATTGAATATTGTAAAATAAAAATACTTTCCATATAAAAATGGACTGGTGTTATGTAAATAATATTTATATGCTTGCCAGCATAAACAAATAATTAAATAAAAATAGATATCAACCAGTCGGCAACCATCCAACCAACCCATTCATGGCATATTCAAAAGTGTACAACAACAACAATAAAATATTAATATCCATAAATATAGAGAAAAGAGCCTAGAGGCGACGAGTGTTGTTAAAGTTTTATTTTTCTAAAAACGGAAAGGGATTTCAATCGTAACAAAAATAAACTGAATTTTATGCAGTATCATCAAACTCAAACATGAATGATGAAGGCTATATGAAATCAACGGCAACAACAGCAACAATAGATTCAGTGACATTTATGAAAGCAAAAACAACGGACAATCTTATCTACACAAATTGTGTCGCATGAATGATTCCTGTGAAAAGGCACAAAATATTCATTTAATTTTCGTAAAGAGCAAATGCTAAATTTTAATTTGTAGACCGACCCAAAACAAATACTTGAATGGGGATTTGAATTATTAAGAAATGCTTATCAGAA